TAAAGTTTCACAGGCTGTGAAAAGTCTGCCAAGCTATGTGAGAGAGCTATATTCAAATTCCATGGGAAAATGAGTGCCTAATTGGTCTGAGTTAAAACTCAGTTAAAACTGAGTTAAAACTCGGACTAATTGGTCTGAGTTAAAACGATCTTATCTTATTGTCAGGCTTTGTTACAGTTATAAAGGTCTAGATTCAAGCCACAAGGATCCCAGTCCTGTTAGTAGAGATTGAAATGTGTCTATCCAAGAAGCATCCTTTTAATTAGAGCAATGCTTTTTGACTTGATTGCTACTAATAATTCTTAACAATTACATCATGAGTAGAGGAACTGCTAGGACTTTATTTCTTTACAGTCATTCTTGGTGGTTTCCCTTCATTAAACATTTATTAAAGACCTACTGTATTCAGATTGTATTGGATCAGGTATTCAAGGAGATAGAAAAATAACCAGGGCCTGGCCCCACCTTTGTGGAGCTTACAGTCTAGTTAGGTGGAGAGACTACAGTACACATGATGATGATGATGATGATGATGATGATGATAATGATAACTAACATTTATATAGCAGCTACTGTGTGCCAGACATTATGCTAAACACTTTGACAAATATCTTATTTGATCCATACAATGGCCCTGGGAGATAGTTGCTATTGTTATTCCCATTTTACAGATGAGGAAACTGAGGCTAATAGAGGTTAGTGACTTATCCAGAGTTGCACAGATAGCCTGAGGCTGGATCTGAACTTGGGTCTTCCTGACTTCAGGCCCTGTACTATCCACTGTGCCCCTCGATGTCAATATATAAAAGTATATATAAATATTAGATGTAATAAATGTAAATTATAAGTAAATACAGAATAAATGTAAGTTATGTATAAAAGTAATCCTATTTCATTTTATATGTTTAACTGCATGATTCTGGGAAGGGGTTTATAGACTTCACCAGACTGCCAAAGATGCCTCTCTGACACAGAAAAAGTTAAGAACTCCAGCTCTAGATAGGGGGAACAGGGTGAACAGAGGCCCTGAGGACAGCACATAGTATATTCAGGGGGCAGTTTGGTTGGTACTTGGGATAAGGCTAGAAATGTAGGGTAGCACCACCAGATGGCAGAAGGCCCTCAATGCTAGGCACAGGAGTATGAACTTTTCTCAGGAGGGAGCCACTGAAGAATTTTGAGCAAAAGAATGACATAAATATATCTATGCATAATCAAGATTTTTCTATCAGCAGCTGGATGAGGTGGGGGCATTGGGTGGGGGGAGCAGATGACCACTTACTGGAGGTGGGAAAGACCTGGTCTTAGTAGTCTGTACACATGGTAATAAAGGTTGTATGTAGGTGGTGGCATTAGGAGTAGAGTAGAATGGAAGGATGCCCGACATGTTTTGGTGCTCCCTAACTTTTTGTCTCCCCTTGTCTTGCTGCCTGGACCACAATATGTGTCTGAGAGGATTTAACCTTTTCAGTTCTAGCATTCATGCACTGGGTTTCCCGAGGTCCTGATTGATGAGTGCTTTATGTGTCCGTTGTATCGGGCTACTCCAGCCATTCTTCATTCTCCTACCACCCCCACTCCCACCACTCCCCCTTTCCACCTCTGGAACCATAATGAAACCAGTATTTTACTCTATTGCCATTGCCTCCAGAAAAAGGCGTATCATTCTACTCTGTCATGGGTACATTAATCATCCTTGTAATGACCCCTAAGTTACTGAGTTGGAAAACTGAGTGAATGATGGTGCTACAGGGAGAAATAGATCAGAAGGAGGAAGCAGGTCTGGGGAGGGGGGCACAACATGGGAATGATGACCTATTGAACTTGGATTATCTGTGAGATATCCAGATTGAAATGCCTTATAAGCAGTTGGGAGTCTAATGTTTAGAAGCTAGATCAAGTCTGGAGCTGAAGTAAAAGGAACCAAGAAACGGGACCTGTGGATGACCAGATAATGTTTCACACCTACAAATCCAAGGTTTCTTCTGCATGGTTTGTTGAAGAGCCTAATTGATCTCCCTAACAAGCTACAGGCCAAACAATAGGGGCCTTCTCAAATGATAAAGGTTTTAACTACTTCCCCTACTGAGTGAGGTTATTGTGTATGTGACTAAACACACTGTTTTATTGCCTCTAATTTATCCTAGTGTACTGGTTTGTCTTACTAGTTCAAGAATTACTGAAGGGGTCTAGTGGATGGGTTAAGTTAGAAAGGGTCATTCATATAAGTAAAGAATTATGGCACTGGCATTTGGTAAGTAAAAATCAATAGGATGCCTTTTCTTTTTCTAAAGTTGAATAAATGGTGCTAGAGTTCCAAGTAAGTCTTAGAAGCAGTGACTTGCTAAACACATTCTGTCCAAAAAGGGTTTCATTCTGGTCATTGAAGCCATAGTACTATCCCATTGAGTCTCCTGGTTTCTCCCCTTTCCCCCCTTCCTTTTATTTAACCCCTGACTGTTCTGACCTAGTTACATCCCACAGTTTTTATTTCCCTGGTGCTGTGTGTGAGAGAACAAGGAAAGAAGAAAGAGGTTTTATAACCTACACTCCTCTTGAGAGCTAACAGTTTGAATATAGCCCTGAAGTATACATTCCAAAGGATAATGACTAAATGAGCCTTTTAGTGAGAAAGAAGCTTTATTCCCATACTTATTAACTGACAAGGGCCAAACTTCTTTCCTTCTGCTTAGTAGGAGTGTAATCTTTCCCTGACCTATTGCCTCTTTTTTGTTAATGTAGTTTATAATTATAGATGGGGCCTTAACATCTGCCATAAAGACTTTTCTTTACTTTTCAGTAGTCATAAAAATAAGAGTTCTCATTTCTGTAGTACATTAATGTTTATGAAGTGCTTGTAGAAGGTAGTAGATTTTTTGAAAATAGAAGTTTCTGTTGATGTCATTTGCTTTTTACATCATCATAGCTATCCCTAATAATCCCTCTCCATCCTCTCTTCCAGGGAGCCATCTTGTTGTATAACAAATAGTAATTTTTTAAAGACAAAAAAAGGGAAAAAATTGGCACAACCGATTAATACTTCGAAAAAGTATTAAATCATCTTCAATGTATAAGACTTGTGGACCTTTCCCCTCCATGAAAGTGTGGGTTGGAAGCAGCTTTTCATAGCTTGTCTTTTAAACCATGCTTATTTTTTATGATCTTGCATCATTCCCTTTTGATTTTTTTGGTATGTGTATGTGGTTGTTCTTTTCATTTACATTCCTATGATCTTCCTGTATGTTGTTTTCATCCAGCAGTCACAGTCCATTATATTCATGCACCATTTCCTATTTGATTATTATCTTTGTTTCCAATGTTTTGCTATCATAAAAAAAGTGCCCTGGTGTATGTTTTGACTAGAGATTTTCTTCTTATTGATGGCTTCCTTGGAGGGTGAGTTTTTGGTGCTTTATTTTTTTCTTGGAGGAGGGTGCAGGTGCGGGTCTGTGCATTTGCTAGTTGAAGGTAGCTCCCATTGTGGAAAGTTTATTCCAGTAATGCAGAATAGCAACTCTGTCTGTATGTTACAGTTTTAGAAAATGTCTGGGCCATTAAAAAGTAAGTTAATTTGGCTGTGGTTAAACAGACCATGTGTTTCAGAAACAGGACTCGAAGCCATGTATTCCTGATTTTCAAGGCTCGTCCTCTGTCCGTTATACCATGCTGTCCTTATGCAGGTACTGCTTGCCCCATTTAATAGAGGAGGAAATAGGGTTAGAAAGTTTGTGATCATTCAGCTAGTTAGCGGGAAAGCTAAGACTCAGAGCTGGGTCTTTGGGGCTACATTGGTTTTCTGGTCAGTCCTAGTGGACAGGCCAGGGTGACTTAGAACTTTCCAAGGGCATTTGTGGCTTTCTGAACAACTCTTCCACCCTCTGCTCTTTATCCGTCAGTCACACTGCCCTATGGTTTCCAGGTTCTTTCAGCTGGCCCAAATATGGGATAGCCTTGCAGGACTGATTTTAAAACAGTCTTGTTCCTCTCCTTAATAGTTGGAGTAATCAGTGTATATATTTTTCAAAGGAAGATTTTCAAAAAGATGGTGTTACCATCTTCATCTAGGATAATAGAGTTAGATTGGAAGGGATCTCAGAGGTTATCTAGTCTCTTTGATTCTGTAGAAGAGTCACCTGCAGCCCAGAGACATCAAGAAACTTGCACTGAAAGGTCACAAAGGAAGGAGGTGGTAGAACCAGCATTGAAGTGAGGTCTAAGTTAAGTGCTTTTGCCACTTTCCCCTGGGCCTTAATTCCCAGATTTTTCATTGATGACCGTCCCCAGAAAGGGAACTGGCTTGTTGAAAGTCATAGAGTCAGGAGCCAGCCCAAGGGCTTTGGATTTCAGATCTCACTTTTACCACCTTGCCTCGCGTTCCCTCTTGGCTCATGCCCCTCATTTTTGACATGAGGATATTGGACTAGAAGATGTCATGTCCTTTCCAGTCTGACATTCGTGGACTCTCATCTTTTTGTGCTTTTTTCTGGCCAGTCAAAAGGTGCATATAAGATGCTGTCTTTGGAAGTCATTACTCATGTGTAAGGTACTCTGAAAAATTAAATTGTTGCAGCCGTCAGCATTATTGGTTAATACTAATGTCTCTAAAGTTATGCTCTGATGCTCCCTCTGTGGTAGTGGTTATCTGTTTCAGAAATCACTATGCAGGTTTGCTCGGTGGTGAAATAGATATGATGTGTTTGTGAATTTCTTGAGTTTTCAGTAGTGGGGAGTCATTAGAATTCATGTAACCTGGATAACATAATAGAATGTCTGAACTAGAGGTGCTTTCTGATTTTTGATCCACTTCCCCAAAAAATTTGTGTGTAGGTTTGTACCCTAGCTAATGATAGAGTAGAGGGTTTCTGTTTTCTTTTTCTGGATGCAATTTCAAAATTAGGTTTAGAATCCCAATTCTGTCCTTGAACCACACACTCCAGGGCTGGCTACTTGGGGGCCTAAGAGAGAAGCTGCATTTTCTTATCTTTGTTCTCTCTTTCTAGGTGCGTGTTACTATGATGCTAATCAGTCCATGTATGTCTTTGGAGGCTGCACCCAAAGCAGCTGCAATGCTGCCTTCAATGACCTCTGGAGACTTGATCTCAATAGTAAAGAGTGGATCCGACCCCTGGCTTCAGGTGAGAGATGACAGAGTGACTTTGGTATCACTTGTGAGCTCCTTCTGCACTATGGTATGTGTAAGTTTTTCCTTAGAAGCAGCTTTATCAAGGAAAGAATGCCTGCTGACTTCTTTGTATTGATAAATTCACAGTTTTATTCTTAACACTGGTGCTTTGCCAGTATTTCTAGACTGCTGTGTGAAGACAGTCTTGTTGTTTTCTCAAGGTCTCCTATAGGTATGTAATGCTGCTTTGTGCTAGGCTTAAAATAAGGACTGACACAGAACCGTGAGAACCCTAGTTGGCTGACAGGTGTTATTGTCCCGGGGCTAAGATCTCTGAATATCTTTTGTTGTTACTAGCCCAGATATTTGGGGAGTGTAGAGGGACTTGTCTCTGCTTGTCTCTCTATGAGAGCCTGAGTGTGGGAATATTTCGCAGCAGGTATATTCCTGCCTACAGAGCCCCTCTGTGCCAAGAATTCTAGCAGAAAGACTTAGTCTTTTTTCCCCCTCTTGGCTTGAAGATCAGTTAGTTTTAATGTTTTGTTCAGTTCGCTAACCATCTCTCTGATGACTCCTGTAAGTAAGGCATTGTGCTAGGCTCTAGGATAACAAGGATGAAAAGGGCCCAGTCCCTTACCTTAAGAAGTTAGAGGACTCACAGGAACACAACGGCATCTAAGTGCACCCTCCTTCTCTTTTAGATGAGGAAACTAAGGCACAGGGAGATTGAGTGACTTGCTCGAATCATTATACAAGTAGTCAGTGGCAGAGTGGGGTTCAAATCCAGGTCTTCTATCCTTAAACCCAGGACTTTGTCCATTATGTCCCACTCTGACTACTACAAAAAAAAGAAATGTGAGAAAGTTTAGTATGAGGGAGCTTATGAAAGGTGAAAAGGGGAGTTCCAGGCAGAGTACTTTAGGAAATCTGAGGATCCTATTAGGTAAGGAAGTCAGGGAAGAAGCTTGTAGATGATATGCATATTACCTTTTTTTGAGGTAACAGTATATTGGATGCCATTTGTTTTTTAGCTGGGATGTGTCATGATCAGTTCTGGGCATTAGAAAAGTTATTGTTTGGAAAACTATGTGACTCAAGGAAGAGAAACTGGAGGCAGGGATCCTGATATAGGCCTGCTGTGAGGTGACAAAAACTTGAACTAGTATGATAGTAGTGTGAATGGAGATGAGTTTGAACACTCTTGGGGAAGGAGAATCAATAGAACTTGGTTGCTGAATGGATGGTTCTGTGGGAGGCGAATGAGAAGGAAAAATCAAAGATAATCCTGGAGTTTTGAGCCTAGGAGACTGGGTGCATGGATGCTATTGCCCTTAACAGAAATGTGAAAGATTCTTGAATTAGTGGTGGGTTTAAGTGGGGGACATGTGCTTTCTTGCCTACAGTTTAGAGATTCAGGGAATGATTAGATCAGGGTACAGAATCATCCCATTTATCCTCAACCTCCCCCCTCCCCTTCTGTTTGCAGCCTTAAACACCACGCCATGGGGAAAGAGGTGTGGCAGTGACTTCTGCCTTCTTGACCACAGTCAGGTGATGCTTCAAAAGAAATCTGTTGGAACTTCTTTTCTAGACCTTCATTGAGGAAGTAACTCACAGTCAGTATAGCGATTTTATCTGTGTTACCCTGGGCAAGGCATTTGATCCCCCAGCTGCCTTAATTTGCTCAGCTGTAAAGTGGGGATCATAACAGTACCTTCCTCCCATGATTGTTGAGGTTCAAATGAGGTAATGCTTGCAAAGCCCCTTAGCTCAGTGTCTGGCTCATAGGAGATGCTCCCTTCCTTCCTCTTTTTCCTCCTTCCTCCTCTTCCTTCTGTTCTTCCTCCCTGTAGAACTTTGATTGCTGCCATCTCTTTATCTACTTTTAGACCTTCCATTCCCTAAATAAACCTTCGAAATTTCTTCTTCTTTATTAATCAGTAGCACTGTTAGAAGATAGTCCTGTGAGAATATCATTTAGGCAGCAATCCCATGGGAAGATTCCCTGAGGAAATGTTTCTACATGCTGTCATGAGTGCTGACCAAAATCAGTTCTGACCTGAGACGTCAGTGACTCTTTCTGAACAAAACGTAGTTGTTGATGTGCTGGTGGGGAGGGTGACTCACTGGGTTTGGTGCTGAGGGTGGGGAGGGGACTCCCACAGGTCTTCTTGTGCAGCTTTTCCATGTTTGCCAGGAGACTTAGTAAGTACTTGGTCTTCAAAAGCACAGTTTGTTTAGTGGAGTCCATACGCTGAACAGAGTGGGCTCGCTTTGATGGGAAACACAAAGTCTTCGTAGAGACATTAACATCACCAAGTTCTCACGTGGCCTTGGTGGTATTTGCTTTATTAACTCACAAATTCACAGAATGTAAAAGCTGGGGAGGATCGTAGTTTCGTTATCTATCCAGTGAAGGAGTTGGACTAGATAACCTTTGAAGCCCAGAGAAGGGGATTAACTTAGTATCAGGGTAGGTGAAGGAGTAAGAAGAATAATGAGATAATTACAGTAATCTTAGCAGAATTCTATTGAAAAAGATGAGAATGAGATAATAATAATGCATATTGTGCAATAAAATTCTGGAATTTATACAACATATGATTGTAGGTTGCAAAAGTTTAGCATTTATTGGATATCTAGAAAGACATGATCAAATAGCTAAAGTTATGTACCAGTAGCTCACTATCCTTGATAAATTCCCATATTACAAATAAAAACCATGTTCTGACTTTGAGAATTCATTAAGTAAGCCCTATTGGAAATGGAAACTCATCAGAATCAGAACTGTTGCCCCAACTGCCTGGATGTAACACTGATACAAAAAAATTTAAGAAACTTATTTTTGATAACCTACCAACTATTCATAATTTCCAAACTATGTGTAATGGAAAGTTTTCAAATCATAGAGATCTAGCAGAGGACATCAGAATTATGTGAGAATAGGACAAGATTCAATTAATTTCTGTTGTTCTACTGGAGTTATCTCAAAAGTGGTTTCAGTGAGACAAAAGAAGATGTGATTACATCCCCAAAATCTTATTCAGGTACAAAAAGCAGTCTTTTTTTCTAACTCTACAGTCATTCAGAGAACACTAAATATAAAGTCACTTGTTCTGAGACTCTTGTAATCTGAACTTCATCAAAAAAGGTATGAACGAGATCAATGATGATAATACAGATTTAAAATGTGGTAACTTACAGTTGCATAACACTTTCACACATGAAACATTTTCACATTATCACTTGATTGTCAGAGTTAGTCAGCAAGCATTAAGTGTCTAATTTGTTTCAGGCACTGTACTTAATTCTGGGGCAAAGAAAGGCAAAGACACAGTCTCTGCTATAAAGGATTCGAATTCTAAATAGCAGAGACAGCATGGAAATAACTGTGACTTAAAATGTGTAGACTGTGTAAAATGGAAAGTAATCTTATAGGTAACAGATTAGTAATAAGGGGATGCCAGGAATGGCCTCTTCCTGAGGCTTGAAGTCAGGAGTTAGGAGTCAAGAGTTAGAGTATTTCAGCCATAAGATATATCACCAGTTCAGATGTATGGAGTCCAGAGATGGAGTGTCACCTGTAAGGAACAGCAAGCAGACCTTCTTAGCTAGATCATAGTATGCACGGCAGGTTAAAGCATAAGAAGACTGGTAAGGTAGGAAGATGCCAGGTTGTAAAGTGCTTTCAGTGCTAGATAAAAGATTTTATATTTAATCTGGAAGCTCCCATTGGATAGGGATCTTTATTGAGTAGGGAGAATTTAATAGTAGTTTGGATATGTGGAGTGAAGATGAGTGGAGATGACCCCAAGGTTTTGAGCCTGGGTGACCAGAAGGATGGTAGTACCCTCAAGAATAATAGGGCAGTTGGGAAGAGGGCAAAGGTTGGGGGGAGAGGAAGAGAGATGAGTTCTCTTGTAGACATATTGAATTTGAGATGTCCAAAGGGCAGTTGGTGATGGGTGATTGGAGCTCAGAAAAGAGATTAAGATTGTATAGATCTGGGAATCATGTGCATAGAGATGATGATTGAGTCCTTGGGAGTAGATGAGATCACCAATAGAGAAAGTATAGAGGAAAAAGAGAAGAGGGAGCTCTTGGCAAATGGTTTCAATTTTTTAAGAATTTTTAGATGAGATGTGAGTGGAGGTCTTCAGCTAAGAAGAGGAGAGAAGGGAAATATCATGGGAGGTTTGAGGTTTACTGGAAAGGTTTGAAATCACCATTGAGAAGAGTTTGCATTTCTATTCCTCCAGAAAAATTGATTCAGTAGGTATAAAAGGATTGCCTTGTTGGAGGAAGGGCCCAATTCAAATTATGCAGCATAAATTTGTAGTGGACCAAATCAGCAGGATTTCATGATTTTTCTCTGTCTGTCTTCAGCGATACATGAATGGGAGAGAAGGGAGTGATGGGAGTAATCCAAAGTATTTTAGGTGACAGGACAGAAGGCCAAAGGACTTGAGTGTAGGGGATAATATAGGTTTGAAGTGATTTACGTAGAGATAGAGGTAGGGAAGAGAGCAGAGTGGAGCCAGTGCAGGGCTGATGGCCTGGGAAAGAACTGAGGGGTGGAGGGGTTGGAGGTCATGGTGAGGTTGAAGAACAGGTTCAGGGGCTGTTGAGCAAAAAGAAAGATAGTATGTGATAGGAGGTTATGATCAGATGAAGGGATTTCATCGCTTACCACATAGAAGTGGAACGCTTGTTGGTGATGGCATGGTTAAGGGTATGACTGTCTTTGTGTATCTGAAGTGCAGTATAATGGGATTTGAATAGATTGAGGTACTAGAGTGTTAGCGTAGTTGAGAGAGTATAAATATATAGATGAAAATCTTTTATTAGGAGGGCAGGAATAGTGGTGGAGAGGACTGTGAGCCAGACATTTAACTTACTGAGTACTGAAGGGGAATGTCCTGTGTGACAGTAGGTGGTAGCTATGGCTGTGGCTGTGACGATTTGGGTTAGGTGGTAAAAAAAATTTGGATTGCTTATACCTCAATTGATGAT